ATACAGTCGGGATTATGGTTGTTAAGATTTTGATATAGTCGGGATTTTTCTGATACAGTCGGGATTATGGTTGTCAAGATTTTGATATAGTCGGGATTTTAATTCAGTCGGAATTTTGATACAGTCGGGATTATGGTTGTCAAGATTTTGATATAATCGGGATTTCAATAGACGGTCTTTTGGTTGTCGGGCTTGCGATATAGACCAAAGTTAAATATTATCAAATACATCGATCAACAATAGATGGCGTTTCTTTTTAAATTTGTTTAATTAGTAATCAATTATTGCATGAAATTTGCAGGTGATACTTTAAACATTAAAATTTAGTTGATTCACAGAAGAAACGACGTTATATATGCACGTAATTGAAGAGCTTCAATTAACGTCGCATATTTTGTTGTTTACGTCGTCGTTTGAGAGAATCTCTTTTGCAGTTTTAATTAGCAATTAAACAGAGGGTCGATCTGCATTAACTGATTGTGTTTTTCATTTCGCTTCTTGATGTGACATTGAGACACGGCCGTTCATTAATTGCAGCGATGAAATTAAATACAAGAAAAAAAACAAAACGAAACAAAATTGAAACGATTCAATTATTTTTTTCGTTGCCCTAACAACTGACATTATTATAATTAGTAACGTTGTTGTCATCACAATTTTTAATGTGTTTTCGAGATAAATGAAGCTAAACTAATTGAGATTTTAATTAGACATTAAGTCATAACAAATTAACACTAAATATTAGGGTCTATATCGCAAGCCCGACAACCGTCTATTGAAATCTCGACATTCGAAATCCGGAGTGTATCGAAATCCCGGCTGTATTAATATCCCGACTATGTCAAAATCTCGACAATCAAAATCCCGACTACCATAAAAATGTTATTGTAGAAATTTATAATAATTAAAGACACTGTCGGGATTTCGAACGTTGGGATTTTGACATAGTCGGGATTTCGATACATTCGGGATTTTGAATGTCGGGATTTCGGTTGTCGGGCTTGCGATTGCCACCGTAAATATTAGAACTATGAATCATTTGAACTCTACAGAAATCACTTATATATGTATTTCTCTTTGGACATTTCCTTTTGATTCACAAGCATCACACGAAGCGGAATTCGTGGAAAAAGTTTCGAGTTTGCAGAGTGGAGTACGTGAGTGGAAAACCTTTGCGGACGCAAACAATGTGAACGAAAACGAGCAAAAATTACATAATTCGAATTTCCAATATTTAAGGTTTAAATTTATCAATTTGCGCCAACAGTTGCACAAATTCAAACTTGTAATAATAGCATTTACACAAATTGTTTCAGTGAAACAACATCAGCTACTACGATTTTATCTACGACAAGACAAAAACAGTCGAAACTAAACTAATATTTAAAGTTTACAAATCACTATGTATATACACATTCTTTGTAAATATTATTTAAACGTTCGACAGATCAACAAATACTCGAGATACTGTATTATTACAAAATCTATTTTAAGATCGCTGATAAAGGAAACGACATTCATTGTGACCCACAGATGGCGCTGATTATCAAACGTCTGATATGTATGCAACACATCTTACTCTATTTTATATTAACAATAAATACGGAAAATCACAAAAATCTGATACAAAAAGTAGTTGGTTCGATTCCCAAAAAACAACAAAAATTTGCGGATGCCGATAAACCCGAAACAGGTAGAAATAGGGCGAATAATTCAGTTTCAAAAGATATAATTAAATATTGAATAGAGAGAAAAAAAGTAATTGTTATTTAAATTCTTGAAACAAAGTAATTGCGTTGCAAAGGAAAAGATGTGTAATTATTTGAAAATTTGCTTTTTTTTTTTTCTGTGCATGCAAATTCCATTAGCACATTAGCAATTCTTGGAACGATAAATAAAAAAAAATAAGAATCAAAGTGCACGTTCGACAACTTCTATTTTCGACGCACTTAGTAATACAGGTAAAATCCCAGTTGGCGGCATAAGCCAAGAAGTTTCTTGTAATTTTAATGATTTTGTTTTTTGTTTTCGTATTACGCGCGAAGAAAAAAACATCGTTAAATGAAACTTTTGGCTCCAAATTTTTTTTTGAACTCACTAATTTACATTTAAAATGAATACAGATTAAAAAAAAAATCCATAATGACTTACGTAAAATCACTACTCATTTATTTATCTGGTATTAGAATACGCGCACTGAACGTGTGGCGTTTATTGCTGAATACGATAAAGATTACTATAGCAACAATAATAAATAGGTGTAAACTTACGTAATTCGCATATTGTAACGTTTCAAACAATAAAATCATAACTGTTTGTTGCCAATAGCAACCAGAGCGATGTCTCCAAGGTAACGAAAGTTGTTTCATTTTTGATTGAAATGTTAAAGTCGATGATGATTTTCGAGGTTTATTTCTGTATCGCGGTACGCAAAATACGAGATTCAACTGCGTTCAGAAATACTAAAAATAGAGAGAGTGAAACGAGCGAGATTTCGCGCCTTCCTCACCGATGTTTGTGTGTTAATTGATGATGATTTTTGGAAAAAGTTTATTGTTGTACAATTTTTACGTTTTTAGTTATATTATAGTAATGGAGTAATTGTTATTTTATTGTTGTTTTAGGGTGAGTAGAGATGAGAAGATAATTTGAGGGTGGATTGCGTCGTGTTGTGAAGGGACGAGAAGATAATCGCATCACAAACAGAGATGACGCACGTACCTTTCTTTCGTTCCGGTCCTTCCTCCAACCAACCACCGCCGTTCCGGAAGCGGAAACGCGCACTGTCCAAGAGGAGGCGAGAGGCGCCCGTAAGTGGAGCCTTCTTCGTCGAGCGCTCCGACCACGTGGTTTTCTGCTCTAACCGTCCGCAAACCGGTAAGAAACTCTTTTGCTCGGCCGCCATTTTCCATGCGCGCAACCTCGACGAATCGATACTTCCACTTCCGTCTTCCGTCGACAATCGCCGACCACCACCAACATCATCTTCGAATACCCAAGTTCTCCATTCACACATCACGTTCGTTCATTCATTCATTCATTGATCGATCTGAAAGGGAAATTCTGTGAGGAAGATCCGAAAAAGTTCATATACCATTTGAGGAAGGTCACATACGTCGAGTCACGCACTCACCTTTCGTATGGGGGTTATCTATAGCCTCTTCACGAAGCATGAAACGGAATAAACACACATTCATTATCAGATAGATAAAAAAAAATAAGCCAATAGTTTAGTAAAAATCTACCGCAAAAACCATGTAATATGCAGAAAAACATAGAAGAAAACAACAAAAACGTGTTGGAATAATGCGCTGTTACGTAATTTAACCTTTGGCGTATCCGCGTAACGCTCAAAACCAGATGCGTACCCATTATTCAATGCGTTTCAACTAAGCGCGTCTCTTTTTTTATAAACCGTACGCGCGTTAACGTAGGCAACTTTGTTACACCCCGTGTATGATTGGTTGCATAACTTTGAACTTACTAGCTAATTATAGGAAAACCAGATTAAGCAGAAAGCCAAAATATTCATCTTTGTTTAAAGTTTTAATTGATTTTAGATATTTCAATTATTGTTAACGATTTCATGTGTAAATGAAAGATTTTTTTTTAAATATTAATTTTCGTGAAAACAAATACGAATATTTTAATCAAATAAATATATAAAATTTGCCTATTAAAATTCCTTTTATACTATTGGTGAAAAATGCATCAAGACCACGTTTCAGTTTGGTACTGATTGGTCTTCTCCATTTGAGCGAGGAAAGCCTCCGCCTTCTCCTCGTCCAAACCGCCCTCCTCGACGCACACTCGTGCGAAAGCGCTGCGCACCTCCTGCGGCATATTTTTCGAATTTCCCGCAACGAAAATGTGAGCCCTCCTCGTCGCCAACGCTCTCCACACCTCCTTCGCATTCTCGGCGATCTTATGCTGAACGTATCTGAGAAATAAGAGAATGGATTTTTGTTTTATAACCTTTGCAAACTTACATTTTGTCGTCTTGATCCCGGGAGAAGGCGCATATCAGATGCAACATCCCTTCGTCTTGAAGACTCTCGTACTCGTCTTTGCAGTAGAAGTCCTTGCATCTGCTCCGACATCCGAAGAATAGAATCAAGTTGTCAGCGCTTGCGACGCCTTCGTTCACTCTCTGGAAGATGAAGTTCCTGAAGGGCGCGACGCCGGTTCCGGGACCGACCATGATCGCCGGATCTTCCGGATTCAACGGAAACTTAAAACTACCCTTCTTCAACCACACGGAAACCTCGTCTCCGCTCTTCAGATCGGCAAGATAATTGGAGCACAACCCTAACCGTTCTTTCGTCAACTTCGTCTTGTACTTGACGACCGCGACGAGAATATGAATCTCGTCTCTATGGTAACGGCAACTGCTCGCTATGGAGAAGTCTCGAGGTTTGATCGGCTGAAGCAGCTCGAAAAGTATATCCTTGGTAATATTCTTCGTGGCGTGCCGGAAATCCTCGAGCACTTCGGTGATGTTTCTCCTCGGTCTGTTGCAGTAGTTGTACAAGTCGTCTTGTCCTTCGGCCGTCGTGAATTCCAGGCATTTCTCCTTCTCGATCTCGCTGTCCGTCAGCTGCGCCAGGATGCTGAAGGTGTGTCTTCGCGGGATCGATGTCAGATCGAAGTACTCCTCGCACAATTGCTGGAAGCTGATTGGTCCTTGCAAATGGGGCGGCACCGGGAAATCCGAGCTCCTTTCTGATAGGTTAAAAATCGTTTCGGGTGGAATATCGACGTCGTTCTCCAATAAGATCCGCTGGAACTCGGCCACCTGGGATGGAAGATTCCTAGGTCTCAGCACGACTACATCACCGGAATTGTACTCTTGTCCGTTCGTCTTCAGCTTAATTAATCTAACATCCTGAAAAGTAATAAATAATTAGTTTTAAACTTCTTACTGATTAACAACTACTAAGATTAGAACAGTGATTAAAGCTAAAACTATAGTGAATGAAATGCGTTTACTAATACAATCCAAACATGCATACCTTTAGTTCTTAAGTTGAAGCAATAAAAAAGAAGAAATGTTAACTTCCTCAACAAGATTAAGTATCGAAAATGTACCTGAAAATGGTCGTCTGTAGTAACTCTAACATTATCTATGATTGTAACAAAGAATTCTTTGGAAGTCCTCGTGGAATAGTACAAGCTCTGCTGCTTATTGACGGATTTCGGCTCCAAACACAATTTCGAAGTAACATTCCACCTGGAATTCAATCCAATCTATAAATTAACGTTAATTGATCTGTTTAATTTTTACCTTGGCACCACCGGCTGATTCCTATCCAAAGGAGAGACTCCTTGAGGCAAAGGAAAAGCGTTCAAAGCGTTAATCCAAAGTGCTTCAATCCAAGGATCCGAGGCTCCGTCGTATCCCAAATCGTGCTGATCATCGCCCAAACCGATCGGAATCAACTGATGCGCCCCCAGCTGTCCGAGTCTCTTGTTCAATCGTTTCGCCACAAAATTATACTTGACGTAGCTGGAATCTCCCAAACCCAAAACGGCAAAACTGCAATGATACAATTAATGATACATTTAATTTGTATAATTTTTTAGTGAACTCACTTGAGCTTCTTCAACGAATCAGCAGGTAAGCTCCTCCTCAGCAGAAACTTCCAGAACTGCTTCATGTTGTCAGGCTCTTCACCCTGTCCAGTGGTAGAACATACAAAAATCACACAACGTTCATTGATTAGCTCAAGCACATCATAGTCATCCATTGAGCACACTGTGCCTGCGAAATGGAACCGCTTCGACTCTCTCCATATCCTCTCGGCGAGGTCCTGGGCATTGCCAGTCTGAGAGCCGTACAGAACTGTCAGCTTCTCATTCACAAAAGTTCCACTCATGTCTCAATACACACACAGAGAGAGAGAAGGACCTTGGACTTGTTATTATGCAATAAACTATTAGTTTCTATATGAAAACATGAACCGATTCATATCTGATGTATGGGAATGAGTGGAATTATTGCACAGACATTACGATATTAGTTGGGAATGAAACACTGAGGATTTGGATGAGTGAAGAAAACAGAGAAAACAAAACATGCACGTCTCTCTTGACACTTACTTGTTTAGGTTATGCAGCAAAACAGCTGTCTCCAATGGAACTATATGCAACCCATCACATCGTTGTTATCCTTATCAACAATATTTTTAATTCTTTTCCTCCTCATTAACTGATATAACACATGTTCATGTTCATTATTTTACTTTTCAGAAACAAATAAAATAAGTGAACATATAACATAAAGTTATAATACAATTAATACGATCCGTCACATTTTCTGTATTAAAACAGGTGCAACCTCGAGAAGGTAAATGCGTACGGTCTTGCACCAATTCAGAGGCTTTGTTTTGCGCTTGAATTGATACCTGGTTATCATCTTCGAAAGAATTTGATATACCTTTAATCAGCACCTGGACATGCGGCCACGTGGAAGCCGCTGCTCTCATTCACAGCAAATGAGAGCAGACGCGCGACCGCACACCCTGGAGGAATCAAAAAGAAAATAGGGAAAATTTAGGATAGAAGGAAAGGCTATGATTTAGGTACCTGAAAGGGAACGTAACGATTAGTGAGATGACATACAAATAAAATTAAATCAATCCTGAAACAGAAGAACACAAAGAAATGACACACACCCG